CTTTCCTAACAATGACCACACACCTAAATCAGCTTCATTGTGTCATTTCAGATAATCTAATTTTGTGCTATGAATTCTATTCATTTACTTGCATCCATATTTTTTGAGCCTTTTGTCCTTCTCTAGTGAACAAAAAAACCCATAGGTCATAAGCTTTACTGAGCTGAAACATGACAAGAGTATGAAAACCTCAACTAGTATCAATCAATATGCCTAACATGAGGATTATTACTTTCCCCCCATAGCCAAACACCAACCAGTCAGGAAGCTAAACTGATTTGAAGAGGTAGGAAAAACTCAACATCCATTGGCATTGCTAGTATATGCCACACACTTGATAAGAAATAAATGGAGAGAAGCTGCAGCTCTGTTGACCCAAATTCAGTCTGAATTAGGGTGACCATAGGTAAGCCAAAAATTTAATAGGCAGATCTGGAAATGAGAAAGCCAGATAATGGCGTGATAACCACTCTACACATCTCAAACTAACTAGAAAACAATAGGAATGAATAGGAAGACCCAAGAGTGCCAGTGGAAGATAAAATATGAAGCAGATGTAAAATATGAGCACATCTGAACTCTGTGTCCTAACCACACACAGATCCATAGGCAGAGGGTGGAAACCTTAAGGACTCAAGGCGTTTGAGTAAACACTTTGTCCAATCATACACTAAGTTATACAGAATCAGAGAGAGCCTTTTGAAAAGTCACTCTAAAAAATTAAAACAGTAACTGAGCAGAGAAGTGAACAGCCAAACACCTTGGGGGGGTGGGGAGACAGATCAGATTCCAGATATTAAGTCCAGACAAGTTACTAAATAAATAAGCTCTTGAAGTGCAGAGGCCAGAATCCATAGTTACAACAACATAACATCTAAAATGTCCAGTATTCAACAAAAATAACAACAGAAACATTCAAATAAATAAGAAAGTGTGACCCATACTCAGGGAAAAATCAGTCAATAACAACTAACTCTGAGTGGACTTAGATTTATCAGCAAAGACCTCAAAAATGCTATTATAAATATGCTCAAATAATTGAAATAAATTACATTTAAAGAAATAAAGTAAAATATGATACTCAAATGGGCACTATCGAGATAAATAGAGTACAAAAAGTAACTAAGTGGACTCTAGAATTAAAAAATATAACAATGACAAATTTACAAAATGGGGGTCGCAACAGATTTGAGAAGGCTGAAGGGAGAAAGTAAACTTGAAGATAGATCGGTAGATACTATCCACTTTTAAGAACAGAACAAAAATTGGAAAAAAGGTAAACACAGCCTCAGAGACCTCTGAAACACAATAAGTGGTTTCACAGAAGTGTAATAAGAGTCTCAGAAGGAAAGGAGAGGAAAATGTATGAAAAAATGGCTAAAAATTTGAAATTTTTGATGAAAAACATTAATCTATAGATCTAAGAAATTCAATGAACCCCAAGTATTTTAAACACAAAGTAATCCATGATCCACACACGTGTTTGTGGTATTTTGTTATGACAGCCCTAGCGAACAAATACACCAAGCGATGCCTATGGCAAAAGATGATACTGCAGATCAGTAGACACTCCACTATATAAATGCCCTTCATCCTTATTTAGCCACAACCTCAGAAAAAAAAGGTTGAAAAGCTAGATTGACTGAAATTTATTTTGATGGATGAAGCCAGAAATAAAAATTAACTTGTTATAGAAAAACAGTGTGTTCATGGACTGAGATTTGTACCGGCAACATAAATAAATAGTGTGATCAAAATTTTATTTTATAAGAATTGTCAGATATTCTCCCCAAATGTTAGTGGTCTACTAGTGTAGACCCATATAGTACCTGACTACCTATCTTACTGACTCCTAGTCAATAGCTTCATTGTCATTCTGGAACATAAAATTGCTAGTATTTTTCTGCCAGTATTTCATCTTTTGTTTTTAATGTGCATTTTCAACATGTTTTATAATAAGTATGTGCTAAACTTTTAGAAGCTATTTAAGCTTTTGTGTCATGCTACCTCCAATACTCCTGCATTTTTTTACCACCAGAATTTGCCAGTGTCTCACATTTCTTACATCCTGGAAACTTTCACTATCTTTTTAAATCCTCTTTAATCCCTTTCCTACATAATTAAAATTTTATTGTTAGAATGCCTATTCATATGAAAAAAATTAAGGGGAAAACCATTATATATGTTTCCCATTTAATAACGTAAAGTCTTTTCTTTAGAAAACAGAAAAAAAAATGCAGTGCTGTCTGTTTATGATGTCTGTACTCTGACGAGCAGGAGGCCCAGGACTTAGTTACAGTTTGCAACTAACTAGTCAGGGAGCCTGAAATAATTCACATTATATTTTTTAGGTCACAGTTTCTTCAGATGTATACAATATGTTAGGTTAAATAATATATAAGTAACTTCTATATTTCTGATTTTAAGACTTTTGTCTAGGACTCCATAGTGAAAATCGACTTGTCTTTATTGTTGTTTTCTGATCATTTTAACTGCAGAAAATAAACTAAAAGTTCTATTTACACCCTGGAAAAATACTGGAAAACCTTCAAACTTTAAATTTGTAAAAAATTAGGCATATACAAGAATAGATGCTATAAAATCACAATGTATTTCTCTCCTTACTTTCAGATATGCCATTCTATAGTTATTAGTTTCATTTATTGAGATTTAAATGAATAGCAAATAATATCATGTTTGCATAGTCTTCAGCTTTTAAGATCAGCACATACACGTAGCCTAAAGTTGCTTCATTTTCCGAAAGGAAGAATTTCAGACAAAAATCGTGTCCTCAGTCACAAAATTTTTTGTTACCATAGTGATGAGAATAAAGAATGGGGAAAAAAAAAAGCTAAAAATACCTGAACACATACAGACAGTTTTAGGAATTTGACCTACTTGGTGTCGTACACTAAAGAAGTTAATCAATTGAATTAACTACATATGCGTTAGGTGAAATACTCTACTGGATGAAAAAAATGCGTAGGTTGCACATCTGGAGCTATTATCCACAATCAAAGAAGTCAGTATGAATGAAGATGACTGACAAACTAAAATGCATAAAATCAGATTCTTTTAAAAATGGCATATATACCAGAAGCAACTAGAAAACCATTAATTTAGCTTCATTTCCCATAAATTTTCTGTTTTTCTTCCATTAGTTAGGATATTTCCATTTCAAATGACAGCTTCTTATGCACCAAAGGAATCTTTTTAACTGGATGGAGCAACATAATTGGACATATATTTAAAATTATGTTAGAGTGGCTCCTTTCTATAAAAGAAAGCCTCCCAACTCTAGGCATTATAATAAAAACAATATGTCTTTAAACTAAATTTTCTTTTGAAAATTCTAGTTTTAATAAATTTAATCAACTCAATCATCTGCAGAAAAAAACCTACCTTATCACAAGGCATTAAGGCTACCTAGTGAAAGATCAATAAAAGGCAGTACTTGCTGTCAAGAATTTTTAATCATCTGTCTAATTATGTTTCTATACACAGACTTTTAAAGTATCTCCACATAGTAAAATGGAAACAACCTGACTTGAAGAGACCAGAAATAAAGTTCCAACTCTACTTAATGAGCTTAGAAAAATCTCCTTCCAAGTCTCAGTCCTCTGTCAGTAAAATGAGCATAAATGAGCATATCATCACCTCTAGCACACACAGGTCATTATGATAAAAGAGAATGGAAACCAACAGCAAACATTCAGTAAATAAGCTCTATAAAATGAGTCAGTATACAAAATAGGCTCAACATTTAAACAATTTCAAAATAAAAATTATAAAAATAACTAAGTGTACTTAAGAATTATTTAAGAATAATAATAGCAAATTTTAACGAGCAGTTATATTGGGACACATTTTATATAAATCAGTTCATTTAAACTTCATAAGTCCAGTTACTACTATCTTCTTTTTATGGTTAAGAATAATAAGGCATAGCATAGATAAATTGTTTGAAGACATACAGCTAGTGGTGGTGAAGCCAGGAATTAAACCCAGGAAAGCTAATTCTAGAGCCATGCTCTAAATCTAGGTCTTCTGACATACTCCAAAATAATAAATGGAGGGAAATATCTGTGAAACTGTTAATTTAAAAAATATATATTTTAAATTGCTAACTATAATCAGAATAAGTTTCTGAAATATCTAATTCATACTACTTTACTGAGTTTAATTTTTCATTATTATTATCATAAAGAAAAATTAAAGCAATTTAAATGTACGACAGTAAACAACTCATAGAACTTCCATATGACAGATAATCACTCAGCCATTAATAATGTTGTGGTATAATGAGTCTTGGAAACTTCTAAGTACTGATAAGGAAATAAAGCAGATTTTCAAACATATAGAAAATAATCTCAGTTTTCATAAAACTAATGTAATATGTACAGAAAAAAATACCAGAAAGATAGACATAAAAATGCTTATAATTGTTACTTCTTAGCAGTTTTATATATTTCTAGATTCTCAAATTTTCTATAATAAGCATTCAAGATTTTTGTCATCAGGAAAAAAATGACTTAAACAATCTAGTCATGATTCCTAAAGCCCAAAGTGATTTCAATGCTTCTTTCAATCTGTGAACAGTTACTGAGCGTCTAGAAAACTGTTCTAAGCACTAAGGATACAACAGTGGCAAAGCAAAGCCCTTAGGTAATAAATTAGATAAGTTGAAACTACAAACTAAGAAAGAGAACTTCAAACCTATAAGGAAGCTTCAACCTTGTCAATCTGACCTTAATCACATCTTTCTACTGGCACTTGAGCTCCTTTACACATGTATGCGTGCATGTATGTATGTATGTATGTATTTATTTATTTATTTATTTATTTATTTATTTGAGAGAGAGAGCACACAAGTTGGGGGAGGCAGAGGGAGAGGGAGAAGTAGGCTTCTCGCTGAGCAGGAAAGAATAAGGGAAGAAGGAAAGAAGGAAAGGGAATGCCAAAGAAAGGGAAAAGAAGGCAAGAAATGGGAAACCACTTGCCTCTCTGGACCAAGTCCCAAACCTCGTCAATTTGCTGCTGGGTTGGGAAATGACCACAGTCATTGAAGAATTTAAGGAGCTCACTTCTTTCTAATCCTTGCCAATCTTCTCTCTTAGCAAACATTGTTTCATAAACTAAAAGAAAGAGATAAAAGAGAATATTTTTCTTATAAATAATATGTCAAAAACAAACTACCAGAAAGTTTCATCTAAATTCAAAGAAGCTTTAACTCCAGTTTTATTTTTATGTCTAGTGATTAGAGTAGCACTGGGTCAGCCTCTTGGGGAAGGTTAGAAGGACATGGGGCATGCTTCTCCCTCCCACGTTCCACAGCAGTCAGATCTGGACCTGTTTCCCTAAAGAGACTACTGGCATCCTCTGGCCCGATTTATATGACAATTGCCCATGGACCATGCATACGTCAATGCTCAAACTATATCATAAGACACAGCTTTGATGTCAGGGTTCTGGGGGCCTGACTTCTACTGACCCATCTTGATACTCCTTTTTAATTAGTTCCCCTAATTTTTTCATCTCTTTTTTACTTCTGTCTACCTTCTAGCTACTTCTATCAGTGATTGGGCTGCTTATTCTACTTCTGAATTTGCTCCTAAATGGAATGACATCTACTTTTGCCCCCTGACTTCATGTATTCCTCCTTCCTAGTTTAATTAAGGTCACTGGATGTGAGTGACCACAGAAAGTGATCTTGCCACTTCTGGCTCAAGATTTCTACAGAAAGCCACTCAGTAGGGCCATCTTTTACCTACCTTCCACACTCGGTAATAACAGGGGCTAGATAATAACCAAGAAAATGGATGGATACATTTTATAAGTGAAGTTCCCCCATAAACATCTTATTTTTTTTTCCAAAAGGGTGATACTGAGTCCCCACTCTGAAGTATGATGGAAGGTGATTGTTATAATCAGCATTTAAGGATGACAGTCTGCCTCAATAAAGGCTGAACTCTGAAGTATGGGCTCCACACGACAAAGGACACTAGAGTAGTTTCTAACACTCTAGTTATCCTGGCACTCAACCACATGGGCTTCGACTTTCCATTTATTCACTTATTTGTTCAGTTGAGGTGGACAGTGGAGAGACATCAACAAATTCAAGAAATATTCAGTGACTAAATATAAGCCACTATTCCAGATCCTGAAACACAGCAGTAAAATAAGTTTATATTTGGAATATCAATGGCTTTTGCTCTCTTTTCAAATAAACAAACTAGAGCACCTGCTGTTGGTACCCCATCCATATTGCCTCGCCCCTTACATTTCTGTGCAAGCTGACCAGACTTTCACTTGCCAGCATCTCATTTCATTGCCTCAGGGCTCCCTCTGGCTGCAGGACTCCATTCTGCCCACCTGTGCAGCAAACCAGAAGTGCCAGAGAATTCAGGCCCCTAATGCCATGGCCCTCAATCACTGGTTCTCCCTCAACTGGGAGTTGAGGGATAAAGGGCCAGCACTCAAGGAAAGTTGTCTACACTCTTCCCTAGAGGGCTCTAGCTCCAGTTGATGGTAACTTGCCTAATCAAGCATTCTCTTTTTACTTCCATCCATCCTTTCCCTGTCTTACTTCATTCCACTATCAGTATTTACTGGGATCTACTTGCAAATAAGTAAGTTATACTTCATGTTTTGTCTCAGGGTCTGATTTTGGAGAAACCCAAACTAGCACACAAAGAATGTAACTTTTAACTCTTCTGTTTAAGTAAATGTATTTTTCCTTGAAAAAGTGTATGTTACCCTTATTAGTTTTTCATTGAATTAATTTTAGATGCTTCTCACTAGATCAAACTGATACACATATGAACATTATAGCCATGTAATTACATTAATAGATGATAATGCACTTAATCAGTATATTATGCTTGAAAAACAAATGTTCACCAACACACTAGCAGAATTAATATTCTAGGCAGGTTCAATTACAGTCAATATAAAATTCTAATCATAAAAATTAAATGAATTTTTTTAGTTATTGAGTATAAAAAATGTATGTAGATAGATACCTGCCAAATATTACCTAATTAACAATCCACATATGAAAGGGATGGAGAACTTTCTGAGGAACATAAAGGCAAATAAGAACTAGCAAACTCTATGGACTCTTGAGTTACTTTAACCCTTAGTACAAATGGATGCCTTACTTGGTAATTCTTTAAATCGTTCATCTAGCTAATTCTCTTCTACTGTTTAGGTCCTATGTTGGACAAAGCATTGTCTGTCCCAACTGGACTCTGTTATGTACTTACCTCATGCCAGCCTACTCTCCACAAAACAGCCAGAGAGATGTGTTCAAGTAGAAGTTGCATCATAGCTCTCAGTTCACAGTCCTCTGTGGGCTTCCCAACCAACAGTTTATGAAGCCTGACACAGCCTACACTCCCAGTCCCTGCTACATCTCCCATCTCATTTTGTCCTCCTATTGCCCCATACCAATAATAGTAATAGCTTCCTCCAACACTAATAGCCTCCAACTTTCTGCCTTTGTGCTTGTAGCTCCCTCTGCCTAGAACATTCTTCCTTCATAGATCCACTTGGCTCCCCTCAGACTTTCTTTAAGACTTCAACTCAAAGTGCTTTTCAGCCAGAAACCACCAAAGTCCAGGCTGGAAAAATAAACCACTTTTTTTTTCAAACTGAAAGCTTAAGGTACAGTAAGAGTAAAATCTGCAGTTACAAATCAAAGAGGAGAAATTGTGGCAAGAAAGTAAAAGAAAAAAATAAGCAGGATTCTATAAGGTTAAAAAAATGAATTTAGTGATAGACTTGGGGATGAAGACAAGGTTAACTGTAAAACAGTGGGAGTACTTTGGAAAGGATATATGATTTGGTAGTCAGTACCTAAAAAATAAAATAAGTGGAAAAAGCGTCCAATGCAATAACTGTAAGGTCCTAGTAATTATTTTTATAAAAGTATAATATTGTACATTCATACTTGATTACAAAACTTAAAATTATTAACCATAAAATGGGTATTAATATCTTTATTAACTATAATGTTACTGTATTGCATATTTAAAAGTTGCTAAGGCAGTAAATGTTAAAAGTTCCCATGAAAGGAAAACATTTTTTGTAACTATGTACGGTGACCAGTGTTAACTAGACTTAGCTGTGGTGATCATTTTGCAATGTACACAAATATTGGATCATGTTGTACACCTGAAACTGATATAATGTTATATATCAACCCTTAGTAAAATCCTCAATTTTTTTAAAAAACTGTCTTTCTGAATTTTGTACTAATGGGTAGAGAGATAATGTATAAAAGTCCTTAAAATCTGAATGCACATGGGTATAATCTCTCTCTCTGACTTCTTTTTTAAAGGGCTTTTAGGTAAAAGGAGTCCCAGCAGCTACCTAATGAGAGAAAGGTTTTCTCTTTCTTTGCCTCTGTCCCTCACGTGCTTTCTTTTTCTCCCTTCTTCCCATCTTTTCATCTCCAACACTGCTCCTTTTTGCCTTTTTCTGTGGAAACCAAGCTGTTGGACTGGGTTACTTGATCTCACTTAATTCTATGACTTGTATAGAATATCTCTCTTTGACTTCTTCTTTCCTTAACCTCTAGCCACAGAAAATGAGTCATTCTAATGCAAAGAATTCTGGTCATCTGTAAATATCTTTTGACACATAATTTCAGCATAGGTAATAAACTTAAAGAAAACTATTAGCAAATATTTCTGTGCCCTTTCATAAGCCAGGCATTTGTTAATAATGGTTATTCATTAATGAATGTTAACAGACACAACCCTTGTCTTCATGGAACTTACAGTCCACTGTGAAATACATATCTTATGATTAGATGAAACATTACCAAAAATGTAGCACTTTTACTTTACAAAGCAGTAAGATGCTGATTTTAATTAAATATAATTTACCTGCATCAGTTTATTGTTTTTTGTTAATTATTTTCAAAGAATTTTTAAAAAGATTTTATTTATTTGTTTGAGAGAAAAAGATCATGCGGAGTGAGAGAGAGAGAACGTGAGGGAGGGGCAAAGGGAGAAGCTTCCCACTGAGCAGGGAGCCTGATGTGAGGTTCAATCCCAGGACACTGGGGTCATGACCTGAGCAGAAGGCAGGCACTTAACCAATGGAGCCTCTCAGGCGCCCCTACAGACAATTCTTTAAGAGAAGTTTTAAGTTCACAACAAAATTAAGAAGGTACAGAGATTTCTCATAAGCCCATACATCCACGTAAGTATAGCCTCCTGTCATTATCAACATCACTCACAAAGTTATAGATTTGCTATCAAGGATGGGCTCACACTTTACCCATAGTTCACTGTTGGTGTTACACATTCTGTGGGTTTAGACAAATATATAATGACACATATATCCATCACTGCACTATTGTATCGCACAGTATTGTACAGAATAGATGCGCTGCCTTAAATATCTTCTATATTTTGCCAATTCAATCCTCCCTCCTCACCCCATCTGGCAAATATAAATCTCTTTATTTTCTCCATAGTTTTGCCTTTTCTAGAATGTCATATGGTTGGAAGCATACAGTACATAGACTTTTCAGTTTAGCTTCTTTGGTTTAGTGATATTTAAGATAAATAGCATTTAAGATTCCTCTATGTCTTTTCCTAGTTTGATAGCTCATTTCTTCTTACTGTAAATATACTCCTTTGTCCAGATGCACCACAATTTGTTGATCTATTCATCTACTGAAGGACATCCTGGTTGCTACTAAGCTTTGGCAATTGTGAAAAAGCAGATATAGACATCCATGTGCAGGTTTTGTGTGGATATAAATTTTTTGATGCCTCCATACCAAGGAGCATGAATGCTGGATCATATGGTAACAGCATGTTTAGTTTTATAAGAAACCACCAAGATGTTTTCCAAAATGGCTGTGTCACAGGCGTCCTCATTAATAATGAATGATTGTTCCTGTTGCTCCACATCCTTACTAGCATATGATACTGACAGTGTTCTGGATTTCGGCCTTTCTAATAGCAGTGTAGTGTATCTCACTGTTTTAATTTGCATTTCCCCAATAACATACAATATGGAGCATCATTCCAAATAGTTATCATCTGTATATCTTCTTTGGTGAGATCTTTGGCCTATTTTTTAACCAAGTTGTTTGTTTTATTAATCCTGAGTTGCT